CTTCTATTTTTCAACTTAGTTGTTGGAAGCCATGAATGGATCTTAATGTAGAAGTTGCTAATTCAACATCTGTGGCCCTCTCCAATGTATTTTATGTCACACTGGCTACATAAGTATTGTTGTATGTGTGTATGGATTGGGCACTTGGACAAGTCCTTCCTGTCACCCTTAGCCTTTTCATCCCTATCTCAAGAATGTGGTGAAAAGAAGGAAGCTGTGCACCTCAGTTTTACCCCAAAGTTGAGTAAGGACATGAGTGAGACATGCACCTGTAACTCAAAGCTAGGACATGCACCTGGGCTCAACTATTTAGGAAAATATAGCCCAGTGTAGTGGAGAAAATGTGCCCATTAATATTACAAACTACCCCGAGTATGTGACATGTATGTAGAAGAAAAGAATAAGCATTTACCAGAAAAAAAACCCTGAAAGTCTGCTTCCCTTTTCTGGTGATTTACTGCTCCATTATGTTGTGGTGAAGAGAGTTGTTAGTTACAGAGCAACATTTTACAGTTGTTACTTCAAAGTTATGTAGCAAAGACAATTTTTTAATGAAAATATTAGTACCTGTTTCTTCTGTTGGACTGATTTTCACTACCATTATTTTCTTTTTGTTTAAAACTATTGCCAAGTGGAAGAGACGTGGAAAGTTTGAATGAGAAGCTATTGAACTAATAATGGTAATACTTTGATTTCACTGGCTTTTAAGGACACCTTAATCAATTATCAAGAAAAAATAGTCCTGATGTATCTGAATCTATTGTCAAAAAGTTAGGCAAAATAATTAAATGTTTTAAAAGTATTGGGCAAATATGATTTTATCCCATAATGCACTCAGCAGAAAAAAAGAGTATCAAAACATTATAAATACTTGAATTTAATGATTTCTTCAGATGTAGCAGTGCTGAATATGTTCTTATTACAAGATCTTGTACTCAAGATTGGATCTGACTTGTAGAAAAATGCTGAATGCTCTAGCAGTTCTCCAAATTTCCTTACTCCTGTGGCTGTATTTTATATTATTAATTGTATTATTTCCTAAGATTTGGAAACCTTTAGATTAGTAGGAGCCACCATAAAATGTAGCACAATCTATTACATCAATTTTCACTCACTCTCTTGTCTCCTGAGCCCAAAAACATGTATTGGTCTAAAATACATTGTTCAGAAGGGAA